CGCCGTCGCTCTCGCCTGGACCTCCCTGGCTCTCGGGAGACTCTGCGCAAGCAGATTCCGAAAAGCTGTGCCAGAAACATTCCCGGAGCAGCTGATCATGATAAACGTTGGATGGCGAGGCCTCCTCCTGCGAAACCCTTGGTCGCACCTGCTCGTCCTCCTCCCCAGACCCCCGACGTCATGATTTTTTCATGACGTCGACCCCCCGAGGTCTCGAACCATTCCCTGGGACCGGTTTTTCGTCCTGAGTCGTTTTTTGACGGTCCCGAGGGCCGGTAAGGGCCCCCAAAGGCCAAAAATAATGAAAAACCTCCCGTCGTGATTTTTTCATAACTCGAGGGGGTCTGGGTCGTCGTCGCCGTCGTCCTCATCCTCCTGCTCCTTCTCCTCCTGCGACGCCCCAGTCGCACCTGCTCGCCGTCGGCCGGGAGACGCCCGCGCTGCGACTCTGGCGCCGCTTCGTGGAGGCCGGCGAGTCGACCCGCGATCTCACGTTCAAGGCCGTAGGAGCGACCTGTTTTCCCAGGGAGGGGAGGAGGGCGAAGGAGACGAAGGACGATGATGATGATGATGATGATGATGATGATGATGATGATGATGATGATGATGATGATGATGATGATGATGATGATGATGATGATGATGAGAGGAGGAGGAGGAGGAGGAGGAGGATGAGGAGGAGGAGGCGACGAAGCAGGAGAGAAGCAGGAGGGAAGGGTGAGAGAAGGAGGCTATGGAAGATGGTGGTGGTGGTGATGTTGTTGATGATGGATTTGATGATGATGATGATGATGATGATGATGATGATGATGATGATGATGTTGTTGACGATGCTGATGACGATGGTGGTACTGATTATTATGATGTTTAGTTCGAAGATGCAGATGACGGTGATGGTGATGATGAGGAAGATTACGATTCTAATATTGGTGATGATGGTGATGGTGATAATGGCGAAGACCATGATGCAGATGGTATGATGGTGGTGATGGTGATGCTGACGATGACAATGGTGATGTTGATGATAGTGATGGTGGTGGTGATGATGACGCTGATACTGAAGATAGTGGAGACGATGATGAGGATGATGAGGATGATGGTGATGGTGATGGCCCTGATGAGAGTGAAGATAACGAAAATGCTGACGCTGATGATGATCATGATGAGGATGAGGAGAAGGATGAGGAGAAGGATGAGGAGAAGGATGCAGATGCGGATGCGGATGCGGATGTGGATGCTGCAGCTGATGATCACGATGATGCTGTTGATGTCGATGGTGGTGATGATGATGCTGATGATAGTGATGATGATGATGATGGTGATGATGATGATGATGATGCTGATAATGATGATGATGTTGATGGTGTTGCCGATGACGATGATGATGATGATGGCGCTATTACTAATAATACGAATGAAACGGATAAGCCTACTACTAACACGAGTAATAATGTAAAGTATGAACGATTAATTCTGGTAATTCCAAGAATGATGATACTCATACTTACTCTAGCGATGATGCTAATGATGATGTTGATGCTGCTGCTGATGATGATTATGATGATGATGATGATGAGCATGCTGATAATGTTGATGATGATGATAACGACGATGATGACGACGATGATGATGCTGATGATGCTGATGATGATGATGATGACGTTGATGATGGTGATGATGATGATGATGATGACGATGATGACGATGATGACGACGAGGAGGAGGAGGAGGAGGAAGAAGAATATACAGATGAGGAGGAGGCTGGGGAGGAGGAGCAGGGCGGCAAGGGGGAGAGCGAGGAGTTTCTTGTTGACTGCCACAACGCAGAAAGGCGTCATTCCGACATTGGTCGATGGGTGAGGAAGGAGGAGGGAGGGGGATAGAGGGTGGGGAGGGAGGGAGGCGGAGCGAGAAGGGAGAAGGAGGAGGGATGAGAAAAGATGAGGGAGGGAGGACCATATGGGAGGGAGAGTGGATGATGGAAGAGGCCAAAGCGAGGAGGTTGTTTCGTGGGTCCCTTTCTCTCTTTCGGTTGTTTCGCGATTATCGTTCTCTTTTCTGTTTTCTCTCTCTCTCTCCTTTTCTCTGTCTCCCCCTCTCGTTTCTTCCCTCTCTCCCTCTTTTTCTCATCTCTCTCTACTCTCTCTCTCTATATCTTTCTCTTGCTGCGTATCCCTCAATCTGATTTATACAGACACATCATAGCCAGCGTGGACCGCAACCAGTGTGTACATGCGGAGCTTGGAGCACTATGTGTGGTGTTACCTATGTGGTGAAATTAATTTCTGTTCGCAGTGAGTTGTCCACTCCACTGCTCGCGCAAACATCCCACCCACCCACCCGCAACTTGTTTTGCAAAACCTCTTAAGACCGTGACGGTGGGTACCAAATGGCACTTGGCAACGACACCGACGCCGACGACGACAGCGACAACGACGACGACGACGCCGCCGACGACAACTACGACGACACCGACGACGTCTCCAACGACTTCGACGACGCCGACAACGACGACGACGACGACGACGACGACGACACCGACGACGACGAATGACGACGACGTCGACGCCGACGACGACGACGATGACAACGACGACGACGTCGACGACGACGACGCCGACGACGACGACGACGAAGACGATGACGAAGACGACGACGACGACGTCGCCAACGAAGACGACGACGACGACGACGACGAGGGAGGAGGGAGGACGACGACGGCGGCAACGACGACAACGACGAGGGAGGAGGGAGGACGGCGACGACGCGAACGACGAAGAAGGAGGGATGACGGCGACGCCGACGATGACAACGACGAGGGAGGACGGAAAACGACGACGACGACGACGGCGACGAAATAGGAGGGAGGACGACGAAACGCCGACGAAGACGACGAGGGAGGAAGGACGACCACGGCGACAACGACGGCGGAAACGACGACGACGCCAAGACGACTACGACGACGAGGAAAGACAACGGACGACGTCGGCGACGACGGCGACGACGACGACGAGGTAGGAGGGAGGACGGCGACGACGACGACTCAAGAGCGCGCGCGCACGCTCTTGTTGAACAGCCGTGCTGCGAAACCCTTGATTTTTGTATGTTTTTTTGGATTCTCGATTTTGAAATCCTTCCGAAACCGAAGGTTTTTGAAGGATTTCGGCATGCGCGCGCGACGACGCGCGCGTGCGCACTTCGTCCTATTTTTGCAGAGGATTCTCGCGACGGCACGCGCGCAAGGGCGTTCGAAAGATTTCGACATGCGCGCGCGCGAAGCCCGTTTGGTAGCATGTCTTGAAATCTTGAAAAACCGATGGTTGCCTTAAGATTTCGCAAGATCGCGCGCGTAAATTCTGTAAGCAAATCAGTGCTGCGAAACCCTGTGTTATTGCATGTTTTTTGGAAGCTCGATTTTGAAAGCCTTTCGAAAATCGAAGGTGTTTGAAGGATTCCGGCATGCGCGCGCGACGACGCGCGCGTGGGCACTTCGTCCCGCTTTTGCAAGGGATTCGTGAAAACCTATGATTTGTGATAAACGAGTGCGCGCGCATAGTATTTTTGGAGAGGATGGCGGGGGGGGGGGCGATACCGGCTTGGCTGGGATAGTATGGATTTACAGGTAGGATGGACGATGGGGCAAAACCATATGTAAATTGCAATACGAAAAGGTGGCCCGTTAATTCCGGGGGGGAGGGGGGGTAGAATGTATTCTTGTTTTAGAAAGGAGAATCTACGTTGTACAAGCTATGTTGTACAATCCACGTGGTGCAACCAACCCATGTGGCGCAATGTACGTGGTGCAAGATTTATGGTGCAACATATGTCGTGCAATCTATGCTGTGCTACATATGTTGTGCAATCGATGTGGGGCAATCGATGTGGTGCAACATATTTGGTCCAAGCCACTTGTGCAATACATGTGAAGCAACCTACGTGGTGCAATATATATATATATATATATATATATATATATATATATATATATATCCGCGCCCAAGAATTCCGGCATTTAGCGCGGGACCAGACCTGGGACCTGCCCGGGGTAATTTTCGCCCAGGAACCCCGAGAGCCGCCCAGCGCGAGCGAACGAGAAATTGTATTGAATAGGTACCGGAAATCTTCCCACGCCTCTGGCCCGTTGGGCCGGCGAATTTTTATGTGTCATTTGGTGCGGAAAAAAGATAGTGTTTATTGGCGTGTTTGTTGGACGACTGGCTCTGGCTCTTCTCACGCAGACAAACATCCATAACTGTCCATCTCTGAAGCTATGTATGGCCCCACAGATGCCCGAGAATTGGCAAATCAGTTGCATGAGTATTGTAGCAGTGAACGCCCCAGCAAAGATGCTGCAATAAAGCGTTTGGACAAATTGAAGCGTCAATTGCAAAAACAAAAGGATGCTGGCATCAACAAAATGGACCCTGGAACTCGTGCAACACAGTCCGCACTGCAGTCTGGCCTGCATCCGCCAACGCAACGCGTGCTTATGCATGCGGTTGTTGATAATTTACGGCCTGAGGGGCCAGTGACATACCGAATTAGCCATCGCGCTGATTGTCGTCAATTGTTTGAAGCTGTGGATGGTATGCTGCGCAGGGGCATGGGCACAGTGCAATGGATTTTGTGGATTTTGTACCTTCGTTTGATCTCGCGCAAAAAGCCGCTTCAGATTGCGACGAAAAATGTCCCAGCTGTGTGTGCTAAGGCTGCGGTGCGAACAACGTTGCTAGAGGTCAAACGGAAGTGCGCGATTGGTGAAACTTTGTGGGATACGAGGCGCCCGACAGGGGGCGTTCAGAAAGCACTGGAAGTCCTTGAAGGGCATTCAGATTTGAAGAGCTTCGCTGAACATGTAGCGTCATTGCAGTGGGCCGATTGGAGACCACATCGTCTGGACACCTCTTTGTCGGCCGCCCTGCCATTGTTTGGCTACGATGGGTATCACCGCGGGAAAACGCTGCGATTCCTGAGCGACACAGCGCGCCACATTTCTGGTCAACCGGTTGTGTGGCAGCGGCAAGATTGGGAAGTTCTCGTGCGCATGTTGCCAGGCACCGCAGAAGTGGCCAATGATTTCGATTTGGCTACATTCGAGAAAGCGAATGCAGGTTGTGAATACGTGGACGCCATGCTCGCGGCTCTCTGCCCCGCAGCACAATGGCCTCCTATGTCGTTATCAGACCTTTCATGCGGCCTGTGCTTGGAACACCAGATCGACGCGCCGCATAAGGATGATGATTGGTACATGCTGGCAGCCGAGAAGCGACGGAAGCGCAAGTAGTTCTTTGGTGAACTCCCTTCCGACGCAGGATGATGTGTGATTGAATTGTCCGTTTCGCTTTGGAAGAGAACGCTGCTCCGACAATTACTTCGCCATGTTATATTTCTGAGCGCTGCGGCGTTCCCCAGCAACCCCGCTACAGGGCGCGCCCCGGCGCGATGCGGGCGCCCTGGTTTGAACAATCGCGCGAGCGACGACGGCGGCGACGACGGCGACGGCGACT